CAGTCTAAGAATATGGCTTGTCCTTTGGTGTACCGATGCTGATGCTGATACACATCTTTGACCAGGGGTTTACTGAGCACATACTACATACCAGGTGACTGGGCTGATGCTGGGAATGTGGTGGAAATGACACATGCCCAGTACCTGCTTTCATGGGACCCATAACCTAGTGGGGACAGATGAGAAGAAAGGAAAGGCGGCTGGATTCGTCTGGTCATCTCAGAGTTTGGACTGCCTGAATGTCTTCATGTCCTCACAGGTAGGCTCTGGTCTCAGTGGCTGTGAAACGTAAAAGTTTCATGACTTCTTGTCATCTGTGAAACCTAGGAGTTAAAGTGGACGCTTTTCAAACTCTTTTCAGGGAAGCTTTTCCTCCAAGATGAGGAATAACACAAGGGCTCTCACTACTGCTCAACGTAGTTCTGGAAGTCCTAAGTCAGAGCAATTAGGCAAGAATAAATAAATAAAATGAAAGAAAAGAAAAGGCATCCAAATTGGAAAAAAAAAAAAGTGAAATTGTCTCTGTTTACAAATGATGTAATCTTCTATATAGAAATTCCTAAACACTGTCAAAAACCTTTTAGAATTAGCCCTGGCTGGTGTAGATCAATGGATTGAGCGCGGGCCTGCGAACCAAACAACCGCAGTTCGATTCCCAGTCAGGGCACGTGCCTGGGTTGCAGGCCTGGTCCCAGCAGGGGACGCACGAGAGGCAACCGCACATCGATATTTGTCTCCCTCTCTCCTTCCCTTCCCCTCTAAAGAGAAATAAATAAAATTTTTTTTTTAATTCTTAGAATTAATAAAGAAATTCAGTAAGTTTTAAGATATGAAATCCACATATGGAAGTAAGTTGTGTTTCTATATACTAACAACAATATATTTGTTAAAGAAATGAAAAAACAATCCTCGTTTACAAAAGTGTCAAAAACAATAAAATATTGAGGAATAAGTTTAGCCATAGAGGTGAAAGACCAGGTAGAGACCTGGAAAACTATGTCTTTGATGAAAAAAGTTGAGGAGGACAAATAAATGGAAGAATATCCCTTGCTTGTGGACTGGAAGAATTCATATGGTTAAAATGTCCACACTACCGAAAGCTACCTATGAATTGAATGTAATCCCTATCTAAATTCCAATGGCATTTTTACAGAAATAAAAATAATCCCAATATTCATGAACCACAGAGATGTCTACTAGACAAAGCAATTTTAAGAAAAAAGAACAAGGCTGGAGGCACCACACATCCAGCACACATATTAAGTTATATTACAAAGCTATAGTAATGAAAACAGTATGGCACCAGCACATAGACTAATGGACTACAACTGAGAGCCCACAAATAAACCCACACACATATATATAGTCAACTAATATTTGACAAGGGAGCCAAGACTATTCAATGGAGAAAGGAGAGTCTCTTCAGTGAAACAATCAACAAAATAAAAGTTCAACCCACAGAATGGGAGAAAATATTTGCAAACCATATATCTGATACTGTCCAAATTATATAAGAAACTCAGTAGCAAAACCCCCAAACGATCTGATTAAAAAATGGTCAAAGTATCTAACTAGATGTTTTACAAAGAAGATATACGAATGGCCAACAGGTACTTGAAAAGATGCTCACCATCACTAATCAGCAGGAAAATGCAAATTGAAACCACGATGGGGTATCGCCTCACACCTATTAGACTACCTTCAAAGAGAGCAGATAAGTGTTGGTGAGGATGCGGAGAAAAGGGAACCCCCTGTGCGCTGTTGGTGTGACTATAAATTGGCGGTGTCAGCTGTGCAGAACAGCACGGAGATTCCTCTAAAATCTGAAAACAGGACTACTCCATGATCCGATGATCCCACTTCTGGGTATCAATGCGACGGAAGTGAAACCGGGATCTTGAAGGGGGGTCTGTACTCCCGTGTTCACTGCAGTGTTACCCACAGAAGCCAGTGCAGGGAAACCACCCAGGTGTCCGTCCGTGGAAGGATGGATACGGAAGTCACAGGAGAAAAACAAAGGGCGTATAGTCTCACTTATAATTGGATGCTAACAGAGCCGAACTTATGGAAACAGAGAGCAGGATGGTTGCCAGGGGCTGGGAGAAATGGGAGGCAACTGGACGAAGAATACAAACTTCCGGTGATAAAGGGAGTAAGTTCTGGAGATCTCAGGTGTAGCACGGCGACTATAGTTAACAACATTATATACGCAAACACTACTGAGGACGGATCTTAAATGTTCTCGCCACACGTGGTACACATGGGAGGTAATAGAGGTGTTATTTAGGACACACATATACATTTCAAAATGTATATGTGTATCAAATCATCACGTTGGCCGCTGTCAACTTACACAGTTTTAGGTCTATTTTTACATCTCAGTAAAGGTAGGGGGCAAAGCCTGTCCCATGACCCAGAGACAAAACACTGGGGTGTGAGGTTGGCCTGGCCTGGCCTGGCGGGACCCCCACATGGCCAGCCGTGCGAGCTGGGCCGGCCTCAGTGTCCTCACCTACAGTGCAGGGCTAACAGCAACCCCCTTGAAGGGAGGTCGGAGCCACTGGAGATCGTTAGCTGCAAATCTGGACAGTGCCCAACGAGGACAGTGTGACATTTTTCTTTGTCAGTAAACGCTAGGAAGCCGCTTTGGTAGTAAGGGTCATTTCACTTTCCTGCTTAGAAATCACCAGTTCTGACTGAAGTTTTGGGATCAGACTCTAAGTCCTTACCTTGGCCTCAAGGCCCTTCCTGATTTGCCCCCTGCCCTTGTTGTTCAGCCCGCCTTGGTCCTTCTCTCTGTCACTTCTTTTGTCATTGTCCTTGTTGCTCAAATGGCTCAAGCATCACCCTTCTGCCCCGGCCCCTTGGGACACGTGATGTTCTGGGCTGAAAATACTCCTTCATCTTGCCACCCTTTCCTGTCCTTGAGGTCTCAGCTTAAATGTGACTTTTCCCAGGGGAAGCTTCTCTGAACCCTAGAAACACCCAGAACCTCTCTTTCTATGAACCCCAGAGCTCCTCGTTTGAGACACTAATAAATGGTAAAAATAAATAAATAAATGAGTCGGTAAATAAAGGATTGCCTTATTTCAAAAAATCCCCTTGGACATGTCCTGACATGTTTTTTATTAGAAGAAGACCAGGGGATGTGAACCATGGAGACTTTTGTCAAAGTCACAGGTGTTTGCCCAACCTGGTGACCTTTTCACCCCTGAGGAGAGTGGGACTTCCTTCGGGGACCATTTGTCACCTGTGGCCCGGCAGGCGGCCTGGGGTCTGCAACAAGCTGCATCTACTCTGACCAGAACGATCCGCTGGATGATAAAAAGATACCACCTCTCGGGGACACATGCCTCGTTTTGCGGTGGAAATGGAGAAGCTGGGCCCTGCAGGTGTGGCCCGGGCTGATGCAGCCTCTGTGGGAATCATTAGAGCCTTCTCAGAGATGAGGGCTCACCCTGCGTTTAACCAGCCACAGGCCCGAGATATGGCTCTGCTTCAGCTCGATGAGAGCCAGATCGTGACCGAAAGATGAATGGCCGAGGCGGCTCTTCCCTGTGAGCATATTGTCTTAATTTGAGGGACCAGTCCAGCACCCGGCCAATCACCGGAGCAGAGAGCATATACGGCTAGCATGGGGGGGAGGGCATTGGTTTAACCCTCAGTGTACCCCTTAAAAAAAAGATCTCCTCAGTTTTTTTTTTATTATTATTTTAAGGAAAGTGAGAGAGAACTTTAAAACGCACAGCTCAGTCACGAAAGACGTTCCCTGGCTGGGAGTTCCACCTGCTAAAGGAAGGAGCTTCATACTTGAAACGTCTGAATCTCCATCTATAGAAACAAATGTGTTGCAGCCAATGGATGAACGGCTGTAGGAAAAGCCAGCATTTTGCTGGCTGCGTTTTACACGGGGCGTGTTGGCGGTTAATCTGGAAGCAGCCGCACAGAGAAACAGTGAGTTATACGGTACATAGATACCTGGCAGTCACTCGTGAGGTCATGCTGTCACTGAGTGGTTTGGTCCTCTGGGCGGCTCGGTCCTGGCAGGGATTTCCTGTGTGGCTTTGGTCCTCCAGAATGTGCCTTGCTGAGGCTTTGAGCACGGACTCTCGGTCCAGCAGCAATTAGCTTCTCGGTTGCCTGAAAATGCCAGAAAAGGGATTTGAAGCTTGGGTGGGAGAAAAGCGCATTCCTGAACCCAGAACCCTTGCAAACGCTTCTGTTTGAAATAAAAGCAGACGGTGAGAAGCTTGGGGGCGCACAGACAAGTGGGTGTCGCAGAATCACTGGATCCGCAGCGCACCCTTGTTTTTGTTATATCCCCTGAGCCTTCCCACGCAGACCGTGCACAGTCCTCCCCTCCCCCTAGTGACTCTGTTCCAAACCTTCTCAAAAACGGCAAGTGGCCCAGCTTACCCCTGAGGGGTTTATAAGGGCGCAGGTACTGGGAGACCGGTGGAGTGCGGTTGAGCTAGTCACTCAATGGCTCAGTCCTCGATAATCCCCCAGGAACGTGCTATCAACTCTGACTTTACCTGGGGCACACAGAGGAGAGTTTTTAGCCAACAATATGCTAAACACTCCCAAAGTGAAGAAGAAACTTAAGAGGCTTAACAGTGGCTGCAGAAATATAATCATCATCTATCGGGGTAACAGCAGCCACTTCCCTCCTACTTGTACAGATCTAGTTCTTGGCGGCTGAGGACAAGGCAGAGAAGTGTGTGGTCTCAGCGTGTCTGAAGGGGAGTGGGTCGCTTAGCATAAAACCTGCATGTATATGGTCTGTCTTTTGTGCTGACTATGATGAAAATGGAATCAAAATTGTGTACAGGGATGGCCTGTCAAGAGGCAGAGTTCAGTACAGATTTTTCTGGAAAAGCAATACTGCTTATGCAGGGGAGGCTAATGTTTGCAGACAAGAAATCGCTCTGTTCTTTGCACATGGGCAGCAAATACCAGCACGGCTCCTGGAATCAGAATGTTACTCTTTGCCTCTGCAGTGAAGGTGAGCTGTGACTCCAGGAGAAAAATCACGTTGCCTCATCTTCAGTTGTAGAAAAAGAGCCACCGATCCCCTCCAAACACAGGCGTCAGGTAACACGTCCAAGTCGGGCAGGAAGGTGGGCTGGCTCTCCCACCGCACGTCTGCGATGTTGAGACGCCGTTCTGTGGAATAGGTTCCTCTCCAACCCCCAAAGTGAGCCCCGTGCCGAAGCCTTGATGTGAAAAGTACTTCCCGTTCTCCAGTGTGTGCGTCCATCAGGAGGAGCATGCCGGGGCAGCGTGGACAACCTCCTGGCCCGATCTCCGAGATCTCTGGCAGCAACGTTGCTGCTGTCATCCTGGTGAGCTGGGTACGTGGGAGAGGCCCTGACCCCCTTCGATCTCCGAATGCCTGCTGGTGGCCCTGCTGTTTACATCCCTCGCCAGGGGGACACAGCCCCTTCCAACAGATGCCGGTCCTCTCGCTGAGTTCAGAACTCGATGCCCCTTCATCTGTTGGGAGGCTGGGAGGCCTTACCCACCGCTGACCTGGTCATCTAGCTCCAGCCTGGTGAAGAGGTACCATCCCAATGGACAGCAGTGTCCCAGCCCAATCCTACTGAGTCATTTGTCAAGCCTGGTGCTTGTTTTCGGTTCCCGAGACTGACCTGCGCGTTGTGAGACACACGCATTCTGTGACCTTTATCTTCACATCCTTCCCCGTCCGCGCTGCTCTTGGGCATCAAATCAGCCGCTTCCTCTCGTTCCAGATGCGCTGCCAGCTTGGGGTGGTTTGAGTTGAGTGGGTCGGACAAGGGGAAATAGGCGATTTCCTCTGCCTCTTGTAGACTTAATCTCTCATCCAGATACCTCTAAAGCATCTCTTTCAACAGCAGGCTTTTGTCCGGGGTGAGCAGCAGAACTGGGAAGAGCAACTTTCTTCTTAACAGTGCTGCAAGTCAGAGTCCAAATGACAGACGCTTTCCTGGTTCCGAAGATGACACTTCAGCGCTTACGTTTCTTTCAACAGCTCACCCCAGGTGGAGGGAGAGATGGCAACGTCCTGTGTCTCTTCCAGAGTGGGGTGAGGAGCGGGGCCGACCAATGGTGTCACCCGCTGGAAATACTCTTTTCTTGGGTCCACTATTCGATGTTTGGGGGCTTCCCTCCTGTCTGCATAAATTTCCTCTGTTTACTTTCTGGAAGATTTTATTTATTTAATTTTAGAGAGAGGGGAAGAGAGGGAGGAAGACAGGGCGAGAGACATGGATGGGAGAGCGAAACACGGATCAGTTGCTTCTTGTTCGCACCCCAACCAGGGACCGAACCCGCAACTCAGGTGTGTGCCCTGACTGGGAATCGAACCAGTGACCTTCTGCTTTGCAGGATGATGCCCTACCAACTAAGCCACACGGGTCAGGGCACCTCTGTTATTAAAAGTCTTATTTGGGTCTGCTGAGAGAACAGACTTTCTTACTATGGACCTTTGGATTTTTAAAAATGATTTTATTTATTTATCTTTAGAGGGGAAGAGAAGGAGAGGGGAAGAGAAATATCAATGTATGGTTGCCTCTCCTGTGTCCCCTGCTGGGAACTGGCCTGCAACCCGGGCATGTGTCCCGACTCGGAATTGAACTGCGGTTGTTTGGTTTGCAGGCCTGCGCTCAGTCCACTGAGCTATACTGGCCAGGGCTTGGTTTTTTTTTTTTTAGTTCACTCTGGTAGCTTAATCTTTGCATTCCTTTGCTATGCTCTGCCCACTTCTCTTTCCCTACAGCCCTCCCCTGTCTGCCCCCAACTAGCTGTAAGGGTGGTCAGGCTAGACCTGAATCTAGGAAGTATACACAGCTTCGTCTATCCCAGTTTTTCCTTTTCCTCCAAGTAAAACGTTTGTCTCAAGTGACATGTTTTGTTCAATACATTTTACCCTCTCAAATGTCACTTTGGTGGCAATTTGACTGCAAGAGAACATTTGCAAACATTTTCACAATGGAGTCCTCTTTCCTTACCCCGACAAAAATATGGTAAAATCAGCACGTCTGTTTAAAATCCTTTTTTCCTTTCTGATCAACAGGAAGAAATATATGCCCGCCTTCTCTACCCAAGTGTAGAATATTGTATATTTTGCCATATGTACTCAGCACACAGGGGCTCCAAGGGGCTATAACACCTTTCGGCATAGTAGTGATTTTAATAATCTTGTGACAGGTTTTCCAACTACTGGTAGGTCTTTGGGGACTGGAGACCTGCCTCATTCATGGGCGACCACCTGGGGAGCAATTCAAATCAGCAGCACATAATGTGGGTTCAGAACATTCACCGACGTCGAACCTTCCCGGAGACTGAGCCATCCCAAGTCTGAAGGGGCGTCCCCGTTACTCGGAAAACTTCCGTCCCCTTCCTCCTGTGGTGTGTGAGCATAAGCTGAGCCTCAGTCAAGGGTTAGGAGAACATTCAGGCCTCGTCACGGAGACACAGCCGTGTGTTGCCACCGTCCCTAAGTTTTGAAAGATGCTCAAGGAAGGTACTTAGCTCAAGGCTGGTACCTCGGCTAAAGCTGCACCTTCAGGCTTGAATATATTCGTGTCTCCCTCTGGTCTTGTGGGTGTCAGTGTGTGTCTCCAGTGGGTGTGGGGGAGACCAGGCCCAGTAATTTACGGCTCCTATTAAGGTTGGCTGGACGCGTGGACAATGTACCAATAATTATTTCTGGTGGGCCCCTCCCAGCAGAGAAGGTGCCTCTGTAGTGTGGCTTATTTTAACAGAAGACAGATATGCCTGACCTGGGTTTTTTGACAGGTGTCAAGTATATTGAAGAGTCTTGTGAAGCAGATCGCCTTATTGGCAAAGAAATGAAAGACCTCCAGGAAGATGGATGGGGAGCTCTTCTCAAGGGTGTTCCCATCTCTGTGTGCAGGTGCGGCAATGAACTTGAAGAAGGGCTGATGGGCAGGCAGGGGTGGAGACTTTGGCCTGTCCTTGACACAAGCAAATGAAGTCCCCGAACCCTGGAGGGTTGATGGGAGAGGGCAGGGTGGGGTGGGGGGCAGGGTTGGGCCTGGGGTGATGTGAGTGAGGGCTCTCTGTAAGCCAGCGCTCCTTGCATGGGAAACCCTGGGTGCCTCTGAGTCCTGCTAAAAAAACGTTGGCTCTTCAGGTTTCTTTCTTGAGTTTTATTCGAGAAATACTTCTTGTGGGCCCCTGGGGGCCAACGCTATGCTGAACACCGCAGGGTCTCTGCTCAGACCCTCACTTCACTCATACGGTTCTCCATCTCTCTTCTTCTGAGCCCTGCACAAAGGGAGGGTGGGGAATCTTGGGGGTCAGTTGCTAGCTGCTGGGGGGGGGGCTGGGGTAAGCTGCTCTACTTCTCTGAGACTCCTTTTGCTCAACTGGGAAAAGGGGACTCAAACTCCTGCCTTGCTGAGTTGGCAGGACTGATCGTAACAGTGTCTTTATGCCTGCCGAAAAGACTAGAACAGGAATGGTAGGGGGGAAATGAGGGCTGCTCTCTGTTTAGCCTTCATCCTATTATTAATAATAATCACTACTATGCAGGCCATTTACGATATAGCCCCCTCCCGTTAGACTGCAAGCCCCCTGTAATGCTAGGCTCTGGACTCCCTCTGTCAAATACGGTCATCAGAACACGCTGCCCCTGGGGACGGCCGAGGCACAGAAGGCCAGCCTTCCTCCAGGCAGGTGTGGCCAGTGCCAGGTGTTCGGTTTGGCAGAGCAAGTGGATGGATTTCTGACACCCCTGCCACTGGGCACCTTTGGGCTGGGTCCGGTGCGCACAGCTGTCCGGGGTGGCCCAGCTGGACTGCGCCCTGGGCTTGGGCCCACTCAGGACATGTTTTCAAACTCAAATTAGAACAGTCACTCTAATGCCAAAGGCGGGGCATTGTGTTTTCAGAGATAAGTCATTGGAAAGACTTCCTGGACACAGTGTACAGTCACCCCAATAGTACTGTCCTCTTAAATGTCCCTTCCCCTGAGTTAACCATAAACATGAATATAGTGCTTCATTCTGTGAAGGCGTTGTTGCTGTGGTTTTGTTTTTTGGGGACCAGAAGTCCCATGATCTGCAGCGAATCCACACCAGCACGAATCAGGAGAAACACAGGAGAAACCAAAGTGCCACAAATTGTTAAATCATTGTCTTTACATGTCGCGGACTCCTAAACTCAGGGGGGGATGAACTAGAGCTGCTGAGACTAGCTTGCAGGGAAAGGTAGTTGTGATGTAGAATATTAGTTGGTTTAACTATTTTTCTTTTCACCAAAAGTACAATTCTTTTTTTTTCATGATTTTATTTATTTACTTTTAGAGAGAGGGAAAGGGAGGGAGAAAGAGAGAGAGAGAGAGAGACATTAGTGTGTGGTTGCCTCTTGTACACCCCGCTACTGGGGACCTGGCCTGTAACCCAGGCATGTGCCCTGACTGAGAATCAAACCTGCAACCCTTTGGTTTGCAGGCCAGCGGCACTCAGTCCACTGAGTCACACCAGCCTGGACTAAAAGTACAATTCTTAACAGATGGAAGAGCTGTACTGTTTTCTTATTAATTTTGTCCTATTTTTGTGAAGAGAAGATTTAAGAGTCAAGATCTTGCTTGCTTTCCATCCCCCTCCCTCCTACCTTTAATCTACTTGGCTTTGACCGTGACCAAAGGGAACTGTCTCAGAACCGGAGCTCTTTTCTAGGGTTTGGTTCTCCAAGTCGCCTGCCAAGGTGGTTTAATGGCTTCTCCATGGGGCAGAAAATGCAAGTCTGTCTAGAAAGAAAAAAAGCAGGATCTAGTTTTTTGGTAAAAGACGGGATAACACGAGGTACAAACAGAACTGAGAAAGGCATTGCTTCGTGTGCGGGGCCGTTCCTTTTACCGAGATCCCAAGGATGAAAGCGAGTCATTTGCTGATGTCTATCTCTTAGGTGGGCTTGAAAATGATTTTTCAAATGATTCGAAATCGCAGGAGACATGAGTTTTAGTTCCAATCTAGAAAATGTAGAATATGTCACTGGGCCGAAGGAGGAGGAGCAAGCGGATTTTCGACCACAGGAGTATTTCACAGATTCATATTCTTTTCTTCATTTGGATTTTTTTTTGTCCCCCTGCTCCTTTATTTCGCTGTGAATTTGTATTAAATTCGTTACAAGCTCTTGAGGGAGGGAGGCTCTCGAGGGTTTAATCGAGGTTGTGAGATGCAATGAATAAAACAAGGGGGGGGGCAGTTAGGAATTCACCATGGCTTCATTGAACCAACCGACAGCTCATCTCAATATGCCCTTCTCCCCCGGCAACTTCTGAGTCTCCAAGGCCTTTATTAACTTGATCTTTGGGAATAGTGTTTTAATTTTTTCCATAATCATCATGCAAATTGATCATGAGAATCTCTGGAAAGGCAAATAAGGGAACTCATGGCCTCATTAACTCCAGTGTTAGGGGACCCACGTTCCTAAGAGCAGGTCCTTTCCCCCACAGCGGCCTCTGCCTTCTTTGTGTGTGACTCGCTCCAGCCCCCAGTGGGAGCCGTGGCTTGTTCCTTGCCTGGCCCGCTTAAATTGCTTCATGCATTTTACTCCCTTACGAAATAATGGGGGAATAATTCAAAAGGTCTCCGCCGTATGGAGGAGACCTGTGCGTTCGGCTAGATTCCAACCAGTCTCTCTAAGCCCCCTGTGTCAGAGCCATAGGCTATAATACGCACGTGTCTTATCTAAACTTTATTTCACAAACATCAAGGTTGCAGATCGCTAAGCTCCGGACAATAAATTGAGTCCGTCAGCATGAAAACGTACAGCTCAGATGCACGATTTTGCATGCCGTTCTGCTGAATGAAAAGAGTGTGTTTTAATTTTCATTTAACAGGGAGAATGGCAGAGACAAATAGATGTGTCCAAAATATACTTAGTAACAGAGTTCCGAGTCCGTTATTAATTTCCATGTGAGCGAGCCCCCTTTTTATTTTGATAAACTGTAAAACCGGGAGAAGGAGGAATCAAATGTACGGCACGTTTATTGATGGCCCGCTAGGTGCTACCCAAGGTGTTAAATGCTTTGCAGCACCGCCTCATTTATTCTCATTTCACAGGTGAGGAAGGGAGGGGCAGGGGGAGGGGTGATGGAGCCGGTCCGGCTCCAACGTGGCAGAGTCATTTCCAGATCTGCTGCATCGTGAAGAAAGGTTTTGATGCAACTTTTGGAAAATGAGCTTCTTCAGGGCTTTGAGGAGCGAGGGTGGTTCTCAGTGGGCCCTGGACTCTTAGAGCCACGGACTGTCGTGACCAGCTGGGCGAGGACGGTCACCAACAGTGTCAACCACTACACGTGCCGTGCACACTAGTGACTTCCACTGATGAACTCTCTTGTCCCTTTCGATTAAGCAAAAGCAAAACAAAACAATAAGAACACCACCCACTCAGACAGACACCGTACAGTGCGTACCAGAGGGAAGGGGGTCGGGGAGGTGGAAGAGGGTAAAGGGGGGATAAACGGTGATGGAAGGACACCTGACCTGGGGTGGTGAACACACAATCCGCTATACAGCTGATGTGTTGTAGAATTGGGCAACTGAGGCCTGGATAATTACATTAGCAAATGTCACCCTAATAAATTCAATTAAAAGAAAGAGATTGTCCCCTCAGATGTAGGACATACTCAGGAAGCTGGGAGTGGGGAGGAATCATCGAATTACTAGACGGGTTAGTTGATCGAATCTCTCCTCTCAGGACAGGGCAGGCCCACCTATATGACTCTGTTCGGAAAAAATCCTGTGTCTCAGTTACAGTGAGGGATGTGTTATGTATTTCTTAAACTCCCTCTGATGTCTCTTGAGAAATTTTATAATAAATATGCATTGACAGCTACGATTTGTAAGGTACTGAATCCAAATGCAGTGAAATGTGCCTTCAGTCAACACTTGTTGAGTATCTGCAACATGCTGGGGACTGGGCCGGGGGTCCAGATGCAGATAAAAGAAGGTGGGCTGATGAGCACAAGTGGGCAATATTAGAAAGATGACTCAGCTCTGGCCAGGTGGCTCAGTGGGTGAAGCATCGTCCTGTACAACAGAAGGTTGTGGGTTCGATCCCCAGTCCGGGTGCCTACGGGAAGCCACCAACTGATGTTTCTCTCTGTCTTTCCCCTCTTCTTCCTCGCTCTCTAAGATCAATAAAACATATCCTTAGGTGAGGATTAAGAGGGAAAGAAAGAAATAAAGCCTAAAGCAGAGCGAGCAAAGGGGAGACTTGAAGGCGGCTTTGGAGAGCTGGGCCTTGAAGTTATTAGTAAGAATTTTTCAGAAAGAAAGGTTGGGGAAAACGCATTTTATTTTGAAGAAACTTCACATTGAACTTAACCAAAGAAGGGTCTGTCTTTCACCTTGGCCACAGTTGGTTAAGGAAGGGCGTGTTTCATGAAGGAGAGTTGGCACCATAGTTGATTTATCTGCTGGGGTGGTAGTTTCTCAAACTACGCTCCAAAGAACAAGAGTTTCTTGAGATGTTAACTGGCATTGTCTGGGAAAACAGGGGGTTCTAGGGCCAAAGAAAATGCTGGGAACCCTGGGGTAGGCTGTTACGTGGAACTCTTTCTTGCACACATCCTCTGACATGCTACTCTGTGCTGGGAACTCCCAAGAGCTTGCCCTAAACCTATTCATCTCTCCCTTTGCACATTTCTTAAAGGGTCCCTGCATCTCACAGTGGAAAATACTGCTTTAGGGGAGAGGCAGCGGTCGGCAGCCTTTAAGAAGCATGCGGTTTCTATTTCAGAACAAAACTCTGGGCGGCTGGGAAGATGTGTGCCAGTGGTAAGAGCTGGACATCAGGCAACCTCTCACCAGGCTGTTACATCCTTCCACGCCAAAGAAATGAAGGAGCAGAGCGGAGATGCTGACCCTGTAAAGGAGGGCATAGGATGGAGTGATACCAGCAGGTAGAATGGATACGCCATGACCTTAGGGAGGGTGAATGAGTAACACAGTGTGAAGAGGACTTTCTGGTTTCTACCTGGGAAGCGTGCACCGTGAAGAGATGTGTCAGATAGAACAGGAGAAAATGAACTCGATTTGGGATGTGATATAACTGAGGTGCCTGTGAGAACTAAAGATAGAGTTGGCCAACTCAGCCAGAAGTTAGAGATACAGTGTACAGCAGCTTCTTTTTCTCCCCTAGCAATGCCTTAGGGGTCAGTGTCATTATTATTAAGTATTGCTTAATAATATATGTATAGGAATGCAGGTTATAAAGAGTGGTATTTGCTTGTTTGTTTATTTATTTAATCTGCACTAGAGGACATTGTTTCCATTACTGAGAGAAAGAGAGAGAGAGAGAGAGAGAGTGATTGGTTGCCTTCTGTACACGCCCTGACCAGGGATTGAACATCCAACCTGGGTACGTGCCCTGACTGGGAATCAAACCCACAACCTTTTGGTGAACAGGATGATGCACCAACCAACTGAGCCACACTGGCCAAGGCAAGAGCTGTGTTTAATAGAAAGCTGAATATAAACCACTTGTTAACTATATTGATTGAGATACTAATATGTATCAGCAACAGTGCATAAGAAAAAAGCAAGCAGAAAAAAATACACAAATAAATAAACCAAGAAATAGAAAAGAAAAGATGCAACCCTTGCTCAAGGAGCTTATTATCTTAAGATTACAAAGATATTACAAGTGGTCCAAGATCCTACTGTGTTAGGGTCTTGGAGCTTCCCCTTGCTAGATGACCTAGGGCAAGCTATATAATTTTTTAAAGCTTGGGTTTTCTCATTTGCAAAATATCATTGGTAGAATAACTCCTCATTAAGAAATTGTGAGGATTAGCTGGGGTTAAACAAAAAAGTATTTACTGTATTTTGGATGTATAAAATAAATTTCTTTAGGAAATAATGTATGCATTGTAATCTATTTAATACATTTTACCATCACTTTATTTGATTTCCAGTTAATGCCAAATAATAACCTGTCTATTTGAATTGCAAAAAGTCAAGCTGGTTTGAATTAAAAAAGCGTGAAACATTCTTTGGTTGGCAAAATACATCACACTTTCGTCAATTAAAAATAGGTAAAATGTGTTAAAAATAATGAAAAGTTCATACTTTAATTGAACTGGCTGTTTCATGAGCTTATATTTTTATGAAGCTTAATGAAAGAAAAACTGAAGTGGCCCATTATGAAATCTGTTAATTGTTATTATTCCCATAAAGTCCACATGATTACAGAAAGTTTTGCAATTATGCCAAGTAGAAATGTACAGTACCGCCTTTCATTTTCTCTGGATTTATTTTTTGATAATAAAGACCAGCATTCACCTTGGCAAACAGAGCGTTCGCTAAATTAAAAACTTCCTTTAAACACACCAGAAACTTTGGACACGAGACTGCCAAAATTGCGGGGTATGCTTGTCAGGCTGACAGACCTCTCTTTGTTCTCCCTGGCTTCTCCAACCAACTGTTATTCCAATACTATCATAATCTTAAATATCGTTGTGCTAGAAGGCACTGCGATATTAATTAAAAATAGAGTCTAATTATTTACCCTCGGTTGGTTCCTACAAACCTCCGCGGTATAATCGGCGGACTCCCGAAGGGGTTCCACGGTATTTGGGAGTGAGATAAGAAGGTCTGTCCCTGGCTGACTCACGGCTCACGAGTGTAATTAAGAGTGACCTCCAGCTCACCTTGAGGTCACCAGATCAGATAGAACTCAGCTGGGCTCCGGCCAAAGGTACGTTGCCTGACCGCGGTCGGCAGCCTACGTCAGTGAGTGCCGCTTTTCATCCGCCTCCAGGCATCTCCGACGACGTGCTGGATGCGTCTGGAGACAAGAGGGAAGCACAAGGTGGCGGACAGTCCAGTAGACCAAGCTCCCAAAGGCTGACCCAGAAAGGGCTCAGCTGGTGGAGGGTGGGCCGTGGTGACTGACCTGCCCCTTGCCACTTCTGGTCTCAGGCTAGCCTGACCTTGGGAAGAAATGTTTTCTAGCTGTTAGAGGCGCGGTGTGAAGATGTCTTGGCGTGCCCGGGGAAGCACCACGGAGACTGTTTCCAAGCCAGGCCAGGGCAGATCTGTCTTTATATCCTTATATCTTTGGGCTTCTCTGGCATTTTTCAACCAGGGAGAAATTCCTTCCAGGAGACTCAGCAGGACCACAGGTCTCCACAGACACAGTGCAGTCACAAACTGACTTCATGGCCTGAGCTGTCCATGCGTCCCCTCACCCCCGCCCATACAATGCCAATCTGTGTCTGAGGGCCCGACTCGGTGGGAACCAGCCCATCGCTGGACCGAGGAAGAAGCGAACAGTACCAGCCACCACATGAAATGGCACGAGACTTTGGACAACGGGAAACATCAGTGAAAATAAGATCGCATTCGGTTCTAGAGACTGGAAGTCATTATTGGTGCTCAGAGGGGCTGAACTTCACCTTCACTGAGAGACACGGTGGAAGAGGGGAAGAAGGTCGTCCGGGTTAGATCTGGAAGGCGCTGGGCGTTCTTGCGAAGAGGAGGAAACGAGCGGCGTAGTTGAACCTACGCAAGCGATTCGGTGGGCAGTTCTGGGCCGCCCCGAGTCTGAAGTGGGGGCGGGACCTCGCTGTGACTTTCCTGATTGAGTTCAACCTGATATTCTGGCCAAGGAAAGTTAACGGATTCAGGGTAGAAATGGGCCACCCCCGTTTTTTAATTCAAAAGGGGCTGCTAGCAGTCCAGAACCTGTAAGATCAGAATAGCTTCTAGGGCTTCTCCTTCAGCATCCTCACGGGGTGCACTGGACACCCCCCCTAATTCTCCCTCCTGCCCATGGCCCACAGGCCCACAGGCCGCCTTTTGTTGGCAGGGCAGAGAGAGGGGCGCAGACACGCCCGTGGCCCAGCCAGCAGGGCCTGCCCCCCACAGGAGGAGGGCCTCTAACAGCCTTGCACTCTGGTCCGCCAGCCATCCATTGTAAATGCCATCAGCGAACAAGAAATCAGCGCCGCGCATCCGATGTCCGTTCTGATGGCAACGCTCTGTGTTGTTTGAAGAGATGCGTGGTTCCTGCTTGTGGCCGACTGGCCTGCCTGGTCTAGGTGGCCTGGATGGACACCAGGGGACACATCAGGGGACACTCAGTGAAAGTCAGTGGCGGGCAGAATCAGCACTTGCGTCGCCTTAGGTTAGATTTCCCGTGAATCTTGATATGTGATTGTCGAGGATGTGACAATTCAGTACAAGAAAGTGTCAAAGGGACTTTTATAGTTTACATGATAAGGATATGCAAATTAAGAAAAGAGAGTGATATAGAGGCATATATGTTTTTTTTTTTTCTGTTACTATCCGTTCAGTGAATGTTTCCTGAGCACCTACTCTGGGCTGAGCATAGTTACAGGTAGTTGTGATATCACAGTGAATAAAAGATAGACATCGCCATGGTAAGGGGGCTTAATTCTGGATGGAGAACGCAGAAAACAAACGAATAAATGGAGGGATATGTAATATTCTGAGTGGTGGTGATGCTATGAGAAAATCCAAACTGCAAGGAATGGCAAGTTAGGGAGGTCAGGGAAGGTCTCTGTTAAGATGACTTTGAGCACAGGTGTGAAGGAAATGTGAGAAGAACATAGGGTAAGCAACTCTGAAAAGGGACCCTGTCACAGGTGAGAGAAGAAAGGCAGTCAGCAAGAGTGGCTTGAGGCTAGGTAATGACACAGGCCAGCTTTTCTGGCAAAGGAAAGAAGTTCAAGGTTCTTAGATCCAAAAGAACCTATGCACCTCAATGTTCATAGCAGCACAATTTATAATAGCCAAGTGCTGGAAGCAACCTAGGTGCTCATCAGTAAATAAGTGGATCAAAAAACTATGCTACGTTTACACAATGGAATTCTATGCAGCAGAAAGAAAGAAGGAGCTCCTACCTTTTGCAACAGCATGGATGGAACTGGAAAGCATTATGCTAAGTTAAATAAGCTAGGTGGTGAAAGACAAATACCATATGATCTCACCTTTAACAGGAACTTAAACAACAAAACAGACAAACATGCAAAATATAACCCAAGACACTGCAATAGAGAATAGGTGAAAAGAGGGGAGAAGGGAGGGAATTTCAGGGGGAAAGGGGAAGGGTTTACAGGAACAAGAATAAAGGACACATGGACAAAAACTAAGGTGGGTGGAAATGGGAGGGAGGTGGGGAGCACTGGGGGCTGGGCTGGGATGGGAGTAAAAGACAGAAAACTGTACATGAACAACAATTAAAATAAAAAAAAAGAAGTTCATACTCTTCTGTAAAGGAATTGGGAAGAAGTACATGGGCTTTAGACAAAAGAACTATATTCATGTTGTTTAAAGGTCCTTCAGGCTGTGTAGAGTGGACAGCGGGCTGAAGAGAGTTAGAATGCTGATGGAGAGATGACAGTATAGGTGACAATTAGTTGAGGAAGAGGTGCTAGCTTGGACTAGACCAGTGTCACCAGTGAGCTTTTGGTCCATCCGATCTCTGTGGTCAGAGGCTGCCCTGGGCACCATAGGATGTTTAGCCGTGCCCCTGGTCCCTGCCAACTGAAGGCCAGTAGCTCCTCCTCCCCACAGCAGTGACCACGCCAGACGAGCAGCCCTGAGTGGTCCAGTTCTCTGGTCGAGAATCACTAGATCGTGCTGCTGGTCGACAAGACGGGAGAGGACAGATTTGCGAGATCTCAGGAGGCAGAGTCGCTGAGAGCTGGTGTGAACAGACTGACAATGAGAAAATGAACAGGAGCAGAGAGGAGCGTGGGAGATGGGCCCCGGTGAAAGACACTCTGGTGGCCGAGCTAGGCCACGCTCGAGAAGGGGCAGGCTTGCTACCAAGGAGGCTCACTCTGGGCTGGAAGAGCAGTGCTGGGGTGGTCTGTGAGGCACCCCCCACCCTGGGCGGACACGAGAGAAGCAAGCTGAATGTCCAGGCCTGGAG